AAAAAAAAAAGAAATGAGATCTGAGGATAGAGTATTCTTTTGAGAAATTTGTATGTGAAAGGGGAAGACAAAGCAATCCCTTACATGTGGACAACACTTCTGAACACCTTTAAAATTAATCAGGAAAGTGGGTGATGGCTCATGCCTGTAATCCTAGCATTCTGGGAGGCCAAGGCGTTGGATTGCCTGAGCTCATGGGTGAGAGACCAGCCCAAGAGAGAGCCCATCTCTAAAAAATAGCTGAGAGTGTGGTGGGCACCTGTAGTCCCAGCTACTGGGGAGGCTGAGGCAAGAGAATTGCTCGAGCCTGAGAGTTTGAGGTTGCTGTGAGCTATGATTCTACAGCACTCTACTGAGGCAACAAATGAGACTCTGTCTCAAAAATACGTAAGTAGGGTGGCGCATGTGGCTCAAAGGAGTAGGGCGCCAGCTCCATATACTGGAGGTGGTGGGTTCAAACCCAGTCCCTGCCAAAAAAAAAAAAAAAAAGATAAATAAATAAATATTAATCAAGAAAAATCAGAAACTTAAAGATGAATTTAAAAATAATTGTAAGCCCCAAATCGATATTTGGCATTCAGGAAAAATAGCTCCTGAGACCTTTACCAATGCAACATTTGTGAAATATCTCATAGATTAATCTTTATAAAATACAGGATATTCGACTGAAATTCAGCAGATGGTCTTGTCATTCATTGAGCTAGAGACCACAGAAAGAAATGCAAGCTTGATGGAACAAAGCCATGCGCTAATTTGGGGGCTGAAATAGTTTCTTTGTTAAAGCCCTGTGCTTCTCTAATGAATAGGAAAAAATTATTGAAGGTCAGTCATGTGCCAGGCACTATGCTAGGTACTAGAAACACTTACGTAAATTAAACCGATGATCCTGGATCCTGACTTCATACAGATTGCAAGTGTATTGAATAATCAACCAATAAATACATAATATAGATCTTGGTAGGGGTTAGGGAAGAAATTACAGGATACTAGGATAGTCTTCAGTAAGTACCATCGTAGCTCACTGTTTGCATATCCACGTCCCTTTAATACTTTTCCTGGAAGATTTCCTAAAAGCGCGATTTCTGGGTCTAAATGTCTGTTTATAATAAATTTTTCATTTTTAAAAATAGACCTTTTTTTTTAGAGCAGTTTCAAGTTCTCAACAAAATTGAGCAGAGTTCCCGAATACCCCCTGGGGTCCTTCCCCTCCTCCCGCCCAGCGAATAACAGTCTGTGTGCTTTTAAGTTTTTCTGCTTTCTGTTCACGTAGAGGCCTTGCGGGGGTTGGGGAGTGGGGCGTGGTAAAAGATACTGAAAACTCTTGAGCACGGAGGTTTCAGGCAAGAATGTGGAGCAATGCTACAAAGTAAAAACTACATTTCCCAGCGGGCAACGCGGCAGGGCACGCAAGGCCGACTGCGCATGCGTACAGGGGGTGCTCCGCGCTCTGCCTCGCTCATAAAAGGGAAAAAAGCCGCGTGTGGTTCTCGACGTGCCGCGAATCTTCGAACGCAAGTGCGTGACCATCCAGGGACTCTGAAAAAAGCGTTCGAGGAACGCGCCTGCCTCGCCGTTGCAATTCCAGCACAACGAGCTTGTTTCGTCCGGGATGCGGTAGGTGGGGATGGTTCGTGACCTGGGATCTCCGGAAAAGCGCGAGAGCGAAGGGGCTATGGCCCTTCTTCCCGGTTTCCCCTCCTTAGCTGCGGCAGCTCTCGAGGGGCTATGCGCACGCGTCCTGGGCGGCAAGGGGCGGGGCCCACGGAGGGAGGCTCCGTGCTCGGCAGTCTTCGGGTCTGTGCGTGCGCCCTTCGGTCGGGAGCGGGGGTGGGAAACCGCAGCAGGCGGAGCTTGGCGAGGAGCCAGCGGCAGGTGGGATGCTCAGCCCACGGTCCTGGGAATGAATTTGTAAGGGGAAATATTTCTGACTAAGGCTTGGAATTCTAGCACTTTTTATTATTTGCTCAAAATAATGGTGCCCATCTTAAGACAGCAAAACCTCATTCACTCTCCAGATAACTTCATTTGTCTGTTTGCAGC